CACAGGTTTCAGAAGTTTTTTTGTTTTGCTTTTCCCATTGGGGTTTTCTGGATGTCTCTTCTTTTTTTTTCTTTTTTTTTTTTAAGTAATCTGAATTTTAAAAAGTGTTCTGAAATATAGAGAAAGCCTAATTTCCACTTCTAAAAAGAAGTCAGAAGTTGCAGAATGGTAGCATGAGAATAAGTTTTGTAGGGTGTTTTGCATTTATTTAAAAATGTGAAAACTTGGAGTGGGAATGGAATCGTTTTTGTCTGAAGAAGTCTAAAGCTATTAATTAATTTATGTGAAACGTGCAATTATTTTTTTATTAGAAATTAAGAAGTTTCCACAGGTATTTGTATTGTTTGCTTGCCAATTTAACTTAGAGGCTCTGTTTTTTTGTTTGTTTGTTTGTTTGTTTGTTTGTTTTGCTTTTCTTCCAGTTTGTAGGAAGATATTATCATGGTTATTCTTTTCATCATGCAAGTAACAATGTTATTCACTATGGTAATTTTCAGGAAAAAAAAAAAAAATCCCTACATCCTGATTTATTATTTTCACACTGACTTACCTGGGCATTTTTCCAAGCATACCCAGAAAGGCAGGCATGGACACCATTACTTCTGGAAAATGGTCACAGTACCTACTGCATCCTCATTAATACAGCAATTCCTTAACACAATGACAGATAAAAGAACTTTCCTTTTATTGAACTAAATGCTGGTTTTACATAAAATAGACTATAATTCAGAGTCTGTAATGTCTACCGAAAGGTTAGACTCGTTACCATCCAAATAGGCTGAGCTAATAAAAATTATATTTGTTACAATCCAAATAGATTAACCGGCCTTAAGGGCTTAGCTATGTATCACACTTTTCAATTTTCTTATAATTAAATTAACATAAAGCAGACTTGACAAATAAATGACTGTATCAGAAACAGTTAAGCTCTATTTAACCAAAATAACTGTTCTATTTACATATACAACAACCAGTGTCTATTTGGGGAGCTATAAGAAGCCTATCTAGTTAGCAAACTCTTGGGTGCCTACAGTCTGCTACTAGTCTTAATCCCTATGCTTCTGTGAATCACATATACCTTAAAAGAGTTCGTGGTTGAGCGTCTCAACTCCCTGTTGGTCCCTTCTCAAACAGATATCTCCTCTGATACCCTGTCACACCTAAATAATGGCCTTGAAAAGCTTCATATGCAGAGCTTAGCTTTATTCACTGAGAGTAGCCCTTTTGCCCATAAAGATTTCAGTGGGATTACTTATATTTTATGAAGCTAGGCGTATGTGTAAGTTTTTGCAGGACAACGATTTTAGTCTCTTCATCACCTTTTCCCTATCCATCCATACATCTGCTACCCGCATATCTAAGCTGAAATACAGTCTATGGTAATGTCTCTTGGATGACAGCAGTCTCACTCTTTAATAGTTTTAGCAGTTCGTTAATGAAGGCTGCATGGTTTATGCAGCAACACTGACCTTCCTAAAAACACCCTGGCTCTCCATAAACTATGTCTCTACCAATTAGCTTTCTGGCCTTCTTTTCCCTCTCTCTTCTATTCCACTGTAAATCTTGAAACCATAATATTCAGAACCTTAATTTTTACTCTGACTCTTACTTACCTCTAAAAAGAAAGAAAGCAATACAAATACCACCCCAACTTGTAGTCTCCTCTGTGGTCACCCTTTTTGGGTGAAAGATCACAAGCATAACCTTAGTGGTTGGCAAGGACACAAATATTAGACAGTCGGTCACGATAGTCATTTTCCCTCTTGTTTCACTTGGGAGGGTGTGTATTAGTGTGTGTGTGTGGCAGGGAAAGGTTTTCCCTTGAGGAGACCACTTGGAAACCTTTCAACAGAAGTTTTGTTTCCCTTTCTGGTGTGAATTTTAGAAACATAATATGACCTGGAATCAAGAAAGAAGTTACGGAGAATATACCAGGTGTCTGCGACATAGGACATATTGGACATGATCATGTTTTTTTAAGAGTTTTTTTATGTCTTGCTTTCACATAGCAAGTGAAATAATGAAACTGATGTGTAACCTGGTTTTGCACAAGCTCTGAAACTCCAGCCGCTATGCTGTAATGTGTGTGTGTGGTTTGGCAAATGGTAAAGAGAATAGTTTCCACTTTCCATAAAGCCATGCAAAATCCACTTAAGTTTCTTAGGGCTTTATGCTATAATTAACCGTTCTGAGAGTGCTATTGTCTGAGAACTGTGCCTTTAAGCCCCTTCTCCTCTCTGTAGGACCTCACTCCAAGTAGCGGAGTGCAAATGGAGTTGAGATCGGAAAGCTGGATACTTAAATGCTTCTTTTGCCACAGCTTTTCTGGTACCTGTTTTATGAACAATGGGCTGCCTATCGCAGAAATGATCAGTGTTGCATCTCAGCTATTCTCCCTAAATTATGATTGTGCTGCCTAGATCTACACTATAAATATATCAATGTAAATCAGAGAAGTTTGCCTTAAAAAGAAAGAAAAAAAAAAGGAAATGGATACTATTTTTAAATTCATCCCTAGAATCAGGTGGCATCACGCTGTTATGTTAAGAAGCTGAGTGGCACTGGCTGAGAAGGAGGTCTAAGTGGCTGCATAACCTCCACACCCTGCAGCCAGCCTGATAATCAGGGACCTGTGCTCCAATGGCTGGGAAGGGAGCAAGGTGATGATTATTGTTTTACCGTAGACTTCCTCGGGGGCTAACTGAACTTTAGAAATTCAGTTCTCTAGAGTGTAGAACATGGCTTTCCCCTCTGCAGACTCCTAGTAGCCTTTCCACACAACTCCTGCAAGGGCCAATAGCAAGAAACAGGGCCAGAGCTGTTCAAACAAATACCCAGAAGGAGACCACGAGTGACACTAACAAACCCCATCGTACTGCAAATTATAGTTAATCCAGGATCAACCCAGATTGAGTGACTCAGTCCTATGAGACTGAGAGTACTGATAGTACAGCTCCCTAAACCAAGATTCAAGGATTCAAGGTGTGTTTTTCATCTTTTCTTTTTCTTTTTTTTTTTTTTTTCCTTCTCTATGTGTAAACAGGGATGTCCTTGCACAGTTTGTCTTCAGACTGCATTTAGATGACAGAGGATTCAGGAGAAGTGGCATCTTATGACAGTGTAATGACTATTGTAGTATGGACATCTCAGAAGATGTTTTTTTTAACACTTCATTCTTGCTTGCCAATACAGGATTTACAAGGCCAGGAGAAAAAAAAATAATAATAATAAAAAAACGGGAAGGGGGGAAGGCAGGAAAAAAAAAAAGCTATGGGAGGGGGGACTGTGAAACGATATATCTTTTGTTCTTCTCCAGGCTGAAAGACATTGTAAACTGTTAACTCTTTAGGACTTATTGGACATTGTTTCCCTTACATGATACCCAACACTTATCTCTAAACTATCCCTGTTTCTCCACCTTCACCTTTGGTGAAGCCCAACAGTTTCTGAATTAAAAACAGAGCAGTATAGCATACACAAATTCAGAGTTGCTCAGTGGCTGTACTTTGACTTCTGAGGTATCCTCTATGCTCCCTTTTCCTCAGCTTTATGTATTAAAGCTTATTTTTAACTAAAGCTCTGATCCTAAGCTTGTTCACAGTCTCAACTAAGCTGTGTGATTCATGTTTCAAAGCCTAATATTTTAGCCTCAAAAGCAGGATGAAATACTGTCATTTGAGATTTTTAATGACTATGGAGTAGTACATGCTTTTTCAGCCTTTCCTCAAAGGTTCCAAATTAGAATAAAATGAATTTCCACAGCCTGTGTAAGCCAATAAAAAGAGTATAGCAAGAGGAGGATACGGAGCTGGAACAGAATGGCATGGTACCAGGATTTGAGCTGAGTGTGTAGTGTATAATGATAAATTATGTACAAATATTATTACTATTATTATTGTGTACTATTATTCCATGCCAGTACTCTTTGTTGGTATGTCAGGCCAGAATGCAAAATTCTCCTATTTTGCCTTCCCTTTGCACAGTTGAAGTACTGGGGCTTATTTTGTGGAAATTTTGCCCCATGGTTTCCATTTTCTGACTGGCAGGTAAATATGCTGTTATAGCCTTCTTCTCTTAGTCTGTGGAGCCACCCAGCTCCTCTGCTGTGATGCTTTCCATAGCATAATACTCATGTAGAGCTTTACAGCAGAGTGGTCGTGGTCGTGGAAACTTAGCTGGTAATCCAAAGCCCTTGAAACCAAAGTGCACTCTCCTGGTGGCCTCAGTGTGCTGCCAAGTTCTTCTCTAGGATGTAGGGAGGAAAAAATATGCCAGAAATTTGGAGAGGATGCAAGAATGGGTGAAATGGGTCAGGGAAGTTGAAAGGAAAGGAAAAAAGAATGTGGAAGTCAGAGATTGTACTTAATAATATAGGTCCTTTGGAAATAAATTGCAGTAAGCACTGCACAGCAAGAGTATGGAGGTGGGCCTGCAGTGAGGATCTGTGGAAGGGATAGAGAACAACACAGTGTCACCTCCATTAAATATATATATATAGTATATATATATAGAGAGAGATGAGACTTGCTCTGCACAAACTTGGAAGCTGAAAAATGAAAAATATTCTAGACTTTCCAAGGTAAATTGGAGATTCAGTCTATGGCAATCCTTCCTGTGGATTTCACTTTCTGTTCTTGTCTTTGTGGCACAACTCAGGAGTTACCTAATTACCCATCTCAGCATGGGTAGAGTTAAAGAGAGATGTCTTACTGTTTGGTGTCCTATCTCCAAAAACCTGAAGAATAGAATTTTTGATGATGCAGCAATCAAAGAACAAGAAGCTACATAGTGTGATGTAGTTACTTTTTGATGGGCTGTCCCAAGGAAAGAAATCCTGCAGCCAAAAGAGTAGTAGAGATCTGTTGTAATCATTTAACCACTTGGCTTGTCTTTTTTATAAACAAACATTTAAAAAAAAAAAAAAAGTGAGGGAGAAATAATAGCTCTGTGAAGAAATGGCATCTAAAGCACATAAGTAATCAAAGACATTTGGTTTGCAGAGAATGTCCCTCTGAAGTTCAGGGAACACACAGTCCCACATCACTGAAGAAAATGAAACAGAATGGACGACCGGACCGTTGGTGTTCTTGAGTTCTGCCTCTGATGTAAGTGCAATTTGTGAGCCCACAATACCACGTTTATCATGTTGCTGGGGTGGCTAAAACACAGTTTTCCCAGACCGTGGGCATTGGGTTTCTATGATCACCAATAAAATCATAAATACTCGATATGACAGAGTCAGTGAGGTCATGGTTGTTGTTTTTTTGACGTTGTAGCATGCTTTTTAACAACTGAACATTTTTCTTTACTGTGTTGTAAAGAGATAGGAGTCAAACTTAATGAAGGATGAAAAGATCTAGATTATTTTTTTTAATTGCATGAAAACATAAGCATATCATGGTTCCAAGGAAAGAAAAAAGCCGTGTGAATTATTTACTATGAGAAATGCAAAGAATAATACTAAGTCAAAATAATAAGTGCTATTCAAATGCAATAGAAGCTAAGTAGAAGGCGGGTACTTGCATTTTAAAAGTTATTGTATTCATGGCTTCATTTATTTTGGTGGTGGTAGGATGTAAAGAACAAAATAAATTAGAACCAAAAATGGAAAAGATGGGATTAATATACAACAGGGCTGTGAATGATTTGTTTCTTTTCCCAGAATGCCCTTCTCCAGCTTATCTGAACACTTAGCTATGTTTATTTCCATAAAGAATGCATTTTATTCTGAAGGAAGCTAGGATGTGCTTTTAAAAATAAAGCAAAAACTTTATTAAAATTCAAAAGAAAAGTAAACAGAGATGATTTGGGAAGCTTTATTCATTTATTTGGGCAAACATTGCTAAAAACATTTAGGTGCACTGCATGTTTAAAAAGTAATAAATAGCTATTGTGCTTACTTCATAAACTTGTCAGAGTGTCTTCATTTTATTTTCCTGAACAAACTGAATTTCTGTACTGCTCATCCCCAGCCAGTTAATAAATACATCACCCTAAAAAGTGCTGTGGTATTAAATTTACAGCAGATAAAATATGGATGAAGTTGCTGTGCTTCAGGTACGTCAACTGTGATTTAATATCTCTGACTACCCTTATGAGGAGTAAAAGATTACTCCGCTGCTCCAACAGCAAGATACTGACCTTTGCTCCCAAGTAACAGCCACTCAGCAAATAGTACCAAATGAAGAAGTAGAATAACATATAGATTTGCCATAAGAAAAAATTGATCTAAATCCATATATCAAATCTGCTGATCAGAGCTCTGCAGAAAAGTACCTCATAATCTGTAGTGTGGAATTGCAAAAACTTTTGGTGGAAAAGAAACTGTGGGCTTTATTTTAAAGTAAAAGATTTATGGGGGCAAAGGGGTTAGGTGAGTTCTATGTCTGTACATGTGGTATATGGGGAGAGATATACATACATATATATATACATATATATATATATATATAATATACCTTGGGACGTCTTCAAGTATAAAAGCAACCATTGATCTATTAGATCATCAGCTAGTGGTTTAACAATCAATCTTACCCTCATTTTTTCTTTATTTCTTAAAAAAAAATGGAGAAAAGTATAACGTTGTCAGAATTTCATTGGAACTGCTCTGTAAATGAAGGAAAAATTCCTCTGGGAATTCTCATAATAGTCTGATATAATTTGTGTCTGGAAAAAAATAAAAAAATAAAAAATATTAAAAAAAAAAAGATATAAATGTGTAAAGGTGATAAAAATCCTCAAGAAGAAATGTTCATTAGCAAAGAAAATAAATTCTTGTGATTTACATTTTGCCTTCAAAAATGGTGGGTGAGTGAAAGGGTGCTGCTCTGCACTTCAAAGCAAAAGCAAATGAAAATATTTCAACAACAAAGCCAAAATATGAAACAGACAAATCACTCTGCTGAGTACTTTTTAAACTGTGATGGCATGTGTTAAGAAAGTGACTTCTGTATATGTAATAAGGATTGAAAAGGTAATCTTTAAATGTGAAAGTACAGTCATAAACTTCCCTAATTAGTACTGATTAGTCTTACTTAAGGAGTTAGAATTTGATTAACAATGCTAAGATCAGTAGATTTACACCAGTATGAAACCAGTATGAAACCGGTACATCTGAGATTATCTCAGGACATTAAAAAAGTAAATTATTTTAAAACCTTTTTTCTCTAAAACTTACAGTTTTAGCTTGATTTAATATTATTTATGCTATATATTTTGAGATATGTTCATATTATAACTGAATCTGATATGTTTGTGTCCGTATAAATGAAAGCCTCATTAAATCCCCAGTTCTGTCAATGATACAATTTTTGATAGGTTGAGTTTGTTGTTTGTTTGTTGTTTTTTGTTTGTTTTTTCTGAAAAGGTGATTTGCTTAGCATATCCAACAAAATTAACATGGTATTTGTTTCAAATACCTGCTGTGGTTATTTTATGAATGATAAGCCATGACCTCTAAGGATTATTGATGCACTTATATGAAAGCTGGATTTCTTTGCAACTGAAAATTAGAAAATAACGTGATTTTTAAAATGGGGAAGGGGTGACATTCATTTCAAGATTTTTGTTGGGGTTTTCCTTTCAGTTAAAACATACTCTTTGCTATTAAGATGTGCTGGCTTGGTTAAACATGAATGTACAACCTGCCCATCCTAGTCCAGATGTTACTCATTCAAACAGACGTCAGCCCATAAACCTTTCTAAACAAGTGCTTTCTCCACTCTGATTGCACAATGGATTTGGTTGGGCAAGAAGACAATTTGTTGAGTGACAGATGCTCAGGCTGCAGCAGTACCATGGGCACTCATAATGTCCTTGCAGAGCAGCTGCTCCTTGAGGATTTTATACTGTTTTCTTTGTGTTTGTAATCATAAATAAAAGGAAAATAATAATAATTTAAAAATTAAAAAAAAAAAAAACCTTTATGCTTTCAGGGTTTAAAAATTCACACAGCAATGAGAACCAAGACTTACAAGCAGGACTTAGAAAGTCAAAGCTGAAAATGTTCAAGTACCATGAACTTTTGATGGCACATCACTTCAAACAACATAAAAGTATTTTATTAGGCATTCCTGCCCTGTCTGAACTGGTAGCAGAGAGCAGGAACAGGAGGGATCACAGGAGACAGAGAGAGAACAAGAAAGAGGAAAGGATCATTGGCAGATAACTTGAGGGGCTCGATTTTTGCAAACTAAATGGGTATATTCTAAAATTTATGGATGTTTTTTAAATACTATTTATCAGCATTTTCATTTTTAACAAACAAGAAGAGACCAGACTTTTTTTAAAAAAAATGTGTTTTTATAAAAATAATAGTAAACAACAACATCTGCTGTCAATGCATATTAGTCTGAACATTAGGATTTATCACTTGATGGCTCATTACAAAATGGATTTCAAATAAATTTCTGAATAGAGAGCTTCAGGAAACATGCTAGCACTCTAAAACAGGGAGGTAAGGTTGAGCAGCCCTTTTCAGGTATCCCTTTAATGTATCTGGCCAACAGAGCAGTATTTCTCCAGTACAACCAACATGGTGTCAGTGACATCATGCTGCATCCTACTGCAACATTCCTGAGCTCAGATGGCAACAATATAAGTTCATCAAGCTGTTCCTTGAATGTCAGGAAGTATGAAACACCACAAATATTCATAGAAGTCAGATGAATATTTTTTTCTCATTGCTACTTGAGTGTCATTTCACATTGCTAATACCTAGCCACAATCCTAACCTCTCACTGGTGGTTAAGCCACAGACTGTGGTGCTCATATGCTGATCAGTAAAGCTGATATAAACAAAAGGTGACACTTCACCTCGAAATTTCATTTAATATGAAAATGGAGAGGACTAACACTGAGAAACTTGTGCTTTCTTGATGCCACAAACAAGATTTTTTTGGGGTGGAGTTTTATTTGGACTGCCACACTGAATATGACCCAGCCTGGTAAGCACCCTCTCTCAGAGATCCAGGTGACATGAAAACCATCCCTGTTCTCCTTAGGAAACCTATTGAAGAAGGCACTTAACACTGAGAGAAAAAAAAAAAAAAAGATCAAAGATCCCTAAAGCTGGCAGAAATGTTAGCTGCTTCCCTAGGCAGGCCAAATTTAGGAGATGTGACTTGCTGGCTAGACCCTGCTGCTCATCATGTCAAGTCAAACTTAAGAGCCACTGGCCAGGAAATATAATGCATTTATTGTTTTCCTGGTGCCTGCTGGTGCCTGCAGCCCTGTGGCTAACAGGGTTCAGTTTTTAAAACTATTTTGCGTGTAAATAAGCATTTTTAAATAAAAAAAGAAGAAAAAAAAAAAAAGTTAATCTAAAAGATGAAATAAAACAATCTGTCAAGGATATTACTCTCTCAGCAATTGACATTTGATCCCTCCTAATATTCCTAGAGAGTATACTGGAGAATACTCCTTGGAAAGTATAGTACCAATCTCTAGCTCTGCTAGCATGCAGTGACTAAACAGATCAAGTCTGCTTTAAGACTTGCAGTTTTATTATTGTTCTCCTAAAGTAACAGTGAATTGGATACTAAAAAGACAGTATCAACACAGGTTTCTAATTCTTAAAACTTCCCTGCAGGAGGGAAGGGACAGCGGGTGAATAGCTAAAGTGGTAAGATGGAGGAGCTGGGCATGGATTTTGTTCCTTTAGCAGTTATAAGAGAAACTGAGAAAGAATATTCCAATCAGAAACCTTTGGGGCACACAGGAAAGCATATAGGAGAACATTAACATGGAGATGAAAAGAGCTATGGATTAGGAAGCAAAAAATAAAAGAAATAAACGATCTTATGAGGGTTCAAGGACATCTTGAGGGGACAGCAGCAGTAAAAAACATGATACAGGCTGGAAAGTACAAAAAGAGGGCAGGGAAAAACTAGGTTTCTAAGAAGTAGCATTGGGAAATGCAGTATCAAACATAATATGGGTAGGAAGGTGCAAAAACCTATTTTGTGTGTTATAAGCAGGATCGGAGGAGTCAGAGTTGGAACAGGGACTTTATCAGCAGACACTGGGCAGCCTGCTCGCCAGCTCTGTGAGACCTGGCCGCAGCCCCAAGGATGTGGAACCTCCTAATTAGCAGAGAAGAGGTCTG